GGGCAGAAATGCGACCTCAGGCCTGCAGTAAGCCGGGTCTGAGGCTATGCATAAGGGTCCAAGAACGCGTGATTTAGGGACATGGTGTTAACGGTACTGTCACACTCCCGAGTGATTTGGTTGAGACTTCCTCAGGGTGGTGTACTGTGTGTCGTTAGCACATGGGCCAGCACTTCTGTTGTGCGCTCCGAGCAAGCAGTTGGTGCGCCAGTCTCGGCGCCAGTCATATGACATGTCGTTCCGACTCGGGCGGACCCCCACGTCCTCACAGCATCACTCTGCAAGGAGATGAGTCCGATGACGAGGTACTAGTCCTTCCGAAGACAACGCCGCAACTGACTTGGTTTGTAAACAGGCTGGCTGCGGAGCAGCACGCCGTCCGCGACCACGACCACGACCCCGTGAACTCGCCGTGAACGCTCCGGACGCGTCTCCGGCGGTGGGTCCTGCAGGGGTAGCTGCGGCTGGCATGTGGGCATGGATGTCCCCACGGCGGATGTGCTGGTAGCATTCACGTTATCAAGGGCCGGGGACGTGGCCGTGGTCTTACCGCTGCAGCTACAGTTAAAGTTAAAGCAAACGCCTCAGGCTCGCGAGCAGGATTCTCTCGACTCCCACCCCTTCCTCCCCGACCCAAACCCCCGACGGACCTCCGGCTTAACGAGCTCGAACGAACGGCCAGAGGACTCCCAGATTGCAGCTGCCCACCAACGCAGAACAACCAGCAAGCCTTCTCCATAGGATAGTAACACACTCCTGAAAGGTTATGCGGGAGAGAGATGGCTGCTACCACTTACCTGGTAGCAATCATTGTGCACCAGTCAGCAGAAGCGGGCGGGACAATATAGATTCAGACGACATCTACTTACTGAATTCCACTACACAGCGATAGGCTATATGTGTACGAGACGAGCCCAAAACTATCCGCCAAAGTCACGGAATGGTCCGAGGCTCTCAATGCGAGTCAGCCTCACATCGATAGCATCCAAAGCTTTTTCTACAACACTCCGGGAACCACAACTTCGCCAAGTAGCACTGGAAGTGTTTCAGTCGCTCTCCCCGGGAAGCCGAGAAGGAACAAGATATCATTGAAGTTCTACATGTCGAAGAGTCAGTGGATCCTTAGGGACGCAGGACATGTTTACCGACCACTAAAGCGACGAGTGTGTGTGAAATACATGCCAGCCTGCCAGTCTGGGTTTATGCTGGCAAACTTGGTCCTGACCTTTTCGTGCACGGCCTTGTCCCTTATTGTCTTACTACATGAAACGGGAGAACTTCACAAGTGCATGCACCCTGTGGGTGCAACTGATTTGCATGCTATAGCTCTTTGCATGTCGCAATTCCCACGTGCTTGTGATGCCAGAAAGAAGGGAGAGTGGGTTCTGTGAGTGCAGCCGCCCCCTCCCTCCGAGCACTGGGTGGGAGACACTTCGGAAAGCAACAAAACCCACTCCCAATGGTGATGAAACCCACCGGATGTGTGCTTCACCGCTTCAATGAAAAGAGTCTTCGTCTACTCTGCAGATCGAGGGGTGCACAAATCAATGCGTTTCCGCATTTGGGAGTTTAGTTTGCTCATGCTGAGTCGCCCATGCCCCCGTCACCGACTGCGAATCAATTGACCTCATCTGGCTGTGCCGAGTCGTGAGAGCGTAAACCCCAAGGCCTGAAACTATGGGCCAACGTGCTTTGCAGGTGACGGTGCATGATGGTGCACACATACATGCATACACAGACAGGTAGACTGTTTACAAAAAATACCGAAACATGTACAAAATGTATGTGTATGTGTGCCTATACATATATATATATATATATTATGTATATACATCATATAGAGATACATTCATATAGAGATAGTCTTATATGTGACTACAAGCATAAATTATTGCACAATCTTGTAACTAAGTTGGTTGATCATCGGAGGGCAGGTTGGACCCTTATGGCTTTTAAAACATGTCGCTGCTGTCACGAGCGGATGTGTCCACAGCAGACCCGCTGAGACCCCATGTCAGCGTTTCCAAGATGTGGTGTAGAATCCTGTAAACACAACTCTTACGGAATGCGTCTCAGGGCAAAGTCGGGACGACATCATGTTCATAAGTTGAAGCCTAGTTCAGGTTTATTGGCATCCCGAAAAGTACCGAACGCTCTGTGGACACCTTCGGGACGAACACTGGCAGAAGCAACGGCTGAGGCTGCTCGAGCACCAGCGATAGAATCAGGGCGAAAGCGTGCTCCCGTAGGATTGGGAGTGTACGTAGAGTCCGGTTTAGGGGTTCAGCTCTGGGATGTAGTATGACGCTTTATGAAGTATATATATATATATATTATGTGTTACATCTATTTCGAGCTTCCCGGAGCTCTTCACGTTCTGCTGTAGCGGGCTTGAAGCGAGAAGAATCACAGCTGCTGGTCATTAAACATTGCAGCTTTAATCACAGCCTAAGCCTGGGAGTATCTGTCTCCATAGCTAAGCAGCTGGAAGCAGAGCCCGCAACAAGAAACAGATATCAACCTTAAAACCAAAGTGCAGGCCCAGAGGACTCGGGGAAGGGGCAGTTCTGGAGCTCAGCTTTGAGGTTATGTTAGGGGTTCGCTGGTGCTGGTGCCCGCGGCTGAATAAACATTACGTAGGAGCAGTAGACTCGAACAAGGATCCTTGTGGTGGGGTTCGGTACCAGTACGTAGCTGACTTTGGGTCTTGAGTGGTAAGGTTGGTCTGCATGAAGCTCAAGTTTCAGAGTTAAGGTCACGACCTGGCGTTCAGAGATCTTCGGAAGGTGATGACGACACGGCGCCTGAGGCGTGTACACCTCCCCGCCAGGGTCCTTCCACAGTTGTTGATAGGCTGGTCCTGCGACCAGCGCGATGCGCATGCAAGCAGATCTGGGTCTAGGCAATAGGGCAGGTTTGCTTTCACTTTCCAGGTGCTTCGACAGGGCTCGCATCGTGAGCACCAGCTAGACTCATGCAGGCTTCATCACGAAGGGTTTTCTGGTGTGCCGCATCATGAGCAGCTAGATCCTCGGCGGGAGTGGTGGGCCCAGGAGGTTCTTGGAACTGTAAAAGAGGCCCAGTCTTCGTAATTCTTGACGAGACTTCGACGGTGTTTTTTTCGCAAGATGCCAAGCACGACTCGACTGGCTAATATTGGCAAACCGTCAGGGACTTTGGTCCTGTTTGTGAAGATCTCTCGCATGCGCAGCGCGGAGTCACAGCAAGTGTTTAGTTTGATTTATTTGTATGTGTTTCGCGGCCTGCACTGGCTGACCTTGGCCACGATGAGCATGCTTAGCAAATGCTGCTCAGCTGCCCGCATCCTTATCCTTGTCTGCTCGCTGGCGTGCGAGTCTTGGAGCAACCTTTTCCTGTGGGAGGCCAGTGGTCAGCCGGCTATGCAGAATGCATCATTTCAACAGTGGTTGAACTGCAGCAATTGCGGTCTCAACACCACTGATGGCGTGCCCAGTCACGCCGCTGTACAGGATCGACAGCAGATCGGGAGGGTCAGCGGGGTACCCTAGCTGCCATCGACGCTCAAGCATCTTCATGCCACCCCGTAACAATCTCACCCGTGTGGTCTGTCATCACTAGTCCTAATCGTTCCTCGCCGCTCAAGATTGCAGCACTTGCAAACGTAAGGAAGACTCGCTTCAACGGCAATTCATTCGGCAGGTGCTTGAGCCTGGTGGCATGTTTTGCAGCTTCCGCGTGCATGACTCGCTGCCCCCGACCGGCCCGACAAATTTCTAGGGTAGGGATACTTAGTAACTAGTTTGTAGTTTGTACGTGGTCTTAGTAGAGCATGCCCCCCACCCCTCAACCCTAATTATTCTCCTCAGTAGCGCCCCTGTGCTGGTGCCCTAATCCGCGAGCATCAATATGATTTGCAAGCTCTTCTGACAAAATGGGCCAGTGGCCCCTTCATCAAAGTCCCCTAAACCCTAAACCCTATAAACCCTAAACCCTTAAATTCTCCTCCCGAAAAAGCTGCTTTTTTGGCTCGGACTTCGAGTTCCGGGCTTAGGGTGAGGCAAGCCAGGTTATGGACAATATAGGGACTTTAATCATTACCTCTGCTGTTTTGGGGGGGTCCTTACTGTAAAGACGGTATAATTGTATGATATACCCCAAAACCCGATTCTAATTCTGAAGGCCCTTCAGAGTCTGAAGGCCCCTACATTACCATGCTAAGAACCTGTCAAACTTGGTCCGGGGCAGCATCCTGGCGCGCAGAGATGCTGAGGACATGCTGCGGGTGATCTCACATCACCCTCCGTCACGGTTAAGCAATTGGGCTTGGGCTAACGTTTTGCTGGAGACTCCAATCACGAATTATCTAGGGTCTTGCCTTTGTCCAAAGTCTTCGAAGTTGTAACCGGCAGTGTGCAGGGTTGAGTGCAAGCAAGACCTGTCGCATCTCCAAGCCTAGATAGTAAAGCCTGCTTCCGTGCATTGTTCTCGTCTTTCCTTGGCCGCCATGCCTTTGTTGGGAGTCCTTTTTTTACGGGTTCTTCGGGTGCTGGATTCCGGAGGGTGAGGGAAGCGCCTGGGCAGGTCTTTGGTAGTTTGAAGCGCAAGCTGATCGGTATGTGTTCGCGCCAACATGTTGCCAACATCAATCGGTAGGTAATCTGCTTCCGACTCAGCAGGTGTCTAATGCTCAAGTCGTTCCTTAAGGTGAAGAAGCCAGTGGACCCTTCTCCGTTCTGTAAGGATAGCACTAGACTCCTTCTTCCAAGGGATCCTGTTTAGAAAGTGGTTTCCTATGTCACTATGTGTTCAAAATGACATGTGATGAGGATCCCACTATTCAGGGTCTATAGTTGGGGCCCGGAACTTACTCAGACTTCCTTAAAGGGATCCTCCCTGCCGCCTTAATAATTAGAATAGGGTTTGGAGGTATGTTATACCATGATTGTACTAAGGAACCACCAAAACTCTTAGTCTAATGATTAAGGCCCCTACATTAAAGTTGCCTTTGGCGAGCTAAGGAGCTGGTACGCACAAGCCCACCCAAAGCTCGGCTGGTGTCAGAGGTCTGTTTTGGGTGGTTCACGCTGTGTTTGATTTGGGCCTTGATTTTGGGAGATGTGCGAGGACGAGAGGGATTAGAATGAGGATATTTAGCTGCAACAGGACATCTGTTCGAATAGCGTAAACTGACCAAACTGCATCGAGACAATTCTAGCACGATGGAGAATGAAGGGCAGTTTGCAGCAGCGGCCTGAAACTCCCAGGGCTTCAGCATTTAACAGAGACTCCATCAGTTGAAGAAGCCCAGTAAGATCGGGACATGGTTATAAGGTCTTCCAACCTGCAAGACCTGCTTGCAGCAGTGTGCCCATCGAACTGATGCAGTGATATCTGCCGTGTGCGCAGGATGTCAAAGAACCGCGGGATGTCGCCACCGAGCTTGTTGCCCTTGAAGACCTGCTTGAAGCACCCTGGCTGTTGACGTCAGGCCTCGGGAGCTGCAAACAGCCGAGTTCATAAATGACTGAAGTCATTGGCTTAGGTCTTAATGTATGAGCCTGATTAAGAAACCCTGGCCCTATAACCCCAATATATTAGGGTTCATATTAAGAACCCTAATAAAGGTCCAGGGTTTCTTAATCAGGTTTCTACATTAGGTGTTAAGCACTTTTACACGGCGACGGCAGTTCCGGGCGAGGGAAGCCTGCTGCAAAAAGGTGTTGAGCGAGAGGGGGGAGGGGGGCAGATCTTGAACCAAACGTGAAAACCAAGGTCTGGCCGGGCGAAGTCGCACCTTGGCTGTTCCTGGAAAAACCAGTGGGTCACTGGGTCATTAGGCTTTATTCGAGCAGAAGACGAACAAGAGACAGCCGCGAAAGAAGACGAACCAGAGTAAGAATGACAATGGCGCTAGCAATAGCGATAGCAATAACAGGAATGCGAAGACCAATGCACGAACCAGCAACCAACAAAGACAACGATAGACGTAGCAAGCTGCTACTGCTACTGCTGGTGCTGCAACTGCTACTGCTTTTGCTACTGGCTACTGCTAGCAAAATGTGATTGTACCTGCTTTCGCCTCAAGCAGCTTGCACGGCCACCGCTACTGTTTGCAATACGGCATCCGCGACTTTGCCTACCGGCTCGTGCCACTCTTTGCCCCATGGCGCAGTGCCGTGCAGCAGGTGGAGGAAGACATGGAGGAGCGACCACGACTTCTGACGTCGCTGCTGCTGCCCCTGCTTTTGCTACTGCTGCTACTCCTCCTCCTGCTGCTGTTTCGAATATGCTTAGAACAATAACTGTGGATCTAACACCAGTCATCGCACCCTTAACGACAATTCCCATGCTGGTTCCAATATCTCGAAGGGCTTTCGAGGCACCTTTTCAGGCATTCAGCCCTTGAACAGTCCAGGTGCCCGCAGATGGCGAACTTTCCGGCTGGACTGTCGACGGTGCCCCGGTTCGTTTTTTTCGGCTCCAGGATGCGGGGTGGTTGCTTCAGGATTCGGGTGCTCCACCGGGGAGCCTTGAGAATTTCTTCGAGGGTGGCTTCAGGCTTCGCGGCTAGGAACCTCAGAGGCTTTTAGGCTAAAAAGGCCTTCGCGAACGCTCTCGAACACCATGCCTGGCGACGTCTTGCTAGGTCAACGAGGGTTTCGACTCCCATGCTCGCACACCAAAAGGTTTATGGTTGAGGGTTTCAGTTTGTAGGCCATACGGTCCAGGATCCCATTCAGGAGATTCGAAGGAGTTACTCAGGAAGGCGTGGTAGATGCCGCGTGCTGATCCTTTGCGCTCGTGGGGGCGCGGAGGGGGACGATCGCAGGGTTCGTGAAGAAGCGGGAACCCGATATCGGGTAAGGCAAGCTCGGGTGCAAGATTGTTCTTCTAAAGTGCAGCACTAGCACCCTGAATGTGAACCCTCGCTTCCTCAACCTAGGCCCTAAAATCGACCGTCAGCAAAATGTCCCAACAAATCTTCATGCCGGAATGAACCCTAGACCCGAAACCCCGAATTAATCGCACTAAAGCCCTAAACAGACAAACCGTACCAAAGCCCTAACGCACGAATTTCAGAGCAAGGCGGCCTCGTCTCGGCTGCGTTTGACGAGTCGCTGCTGACAGGCGAGAGCCGCGACACGGCTCAAAGCACCCGGAAACCGGAAAGGAATGGAAGGAGGGAGGGTTTAGGTGTAAAAAGGGGTCAGGATTTGAGTTTTAGGGTTTAGGGGTCAGGATTTGAGCTTTAGGGTTTAAAGGGGTCGGGATTTGAGTTTTAGGGTTTAGGGTTTTTTTGCGTCCTGGTGGAGTCCCAGCAGGCCAGTTGCAAAAGGGGTTAGGACGAGAAATCTTCAAGGTTTGGGGGGGTCTGAGGTTCAGGGAGTCTACCGCTCACGCGTTTAGGGATCAGGGGTTTCGGGCCATGGGGGGTAGAAAGAACCATGGGACCGTTGTATAGGTTTCGGGTTGTAGGGAAGGAGATGGAGATTCCAGGTTTGGGGTTGGGAGGTCTGCGCCGGATCAAAAGACTCAGCTCCATCGTATGGATCAGGATGTCAGTTGAACTCAGTTAGGGGACATCATTGCCTGTCAAGACTTTAGCCCCGCATATGCTGGTTAAGGTGTAGGGTTTAGCTTCTCATCGCACATTTGGGATGGAGCCAAGTACATGTGCCGGGGAAGTCTCTGGAACAGGGGTCTGCGAAGAAGTCCCTGCAAAGACCATCTGTCGAGGCCCTGTGCCCAAGGCTGTCGGCGACACGCTGATAGGCCCCGGACTTCCCTTTCGGCTTTGCTCCCTCCTTGGTCCACGCGTTAGTCCCGTTAGTCTCTGGGCTCCGCCTAATAGTGACCTTGCTGCTTCGATCCCTTGGGGCGACAGAGCTGCAGACCCTGCAAGCTCAAGGCTTGTCTAAAGGCCTGCTGCTTTGTTTTTGCCTTGGCTTTTTGCTTTCATCTACATGTAACATGTACACGAGTGTGTGCAGCAAGGATCCACGGGTTGAATACTGGCTCAGTCTCTGTGGTCTTTCCGGCATGATCAGCCGGGGCCTCGCAGGTGGCAGCCGCTTGGTCACCGGCCGTGCTGTGCGCCTCCGAGCCAAGCGGGTGGGCAGCGGTACAGCTTTGCAGCAAATCGTGGTGCCTTTGGCCGTGAATGTCTTTGCATAATTTCTATGTGATGGCTGCTGCAGACGATTGAACTTCATGGGCAGGTCCCGCTGCTGGATTGATTGACAGAACTAGAGTTGCAACAGCAGCGGGCAGTTGGGAAGATGCTTGAATCCTACCTATATTGCCGTGTTGCAATGGGCCGGATGCTTTGACCATTTGTTATCCGACAGTATGACTCTGTATAGCTTGCAATGGATTTGAGGTGAAGCCTCTCGGGCAAGCACGTTCGTTGAGCTGAACACAAATCCCATTGCCCCTTAGGTTCTTGAAATCTGGATCCACGCAACTCGAACCCCATGGTTCACGTGAAATCGTTGGCCCAAGTGTTGAATCTTCCACAGGCACAAAGTAAGTATACAGCCGTTTTGCCCTCTTACCCAGCAAAGTTGGGGATGGCTGTGTCTAAGGTCACTGAAGTGAGCACCCCAAGCTTTGCTACGTTTCTTGATACCTCCAGCCAGCCCCGAGCTGCAAACCTACGTAATCACGGCAATTCATGTGGAAGCTGGTCGAAAGCCCTTTTGCTTGTAGGAGGCCTAACCTGCAAACCCTGAAACCCCTAATCCCTGAACCTTGTCTTACTAATATAAGGGCCTTAATGGGGTGTTGGGGCCCAGTATAGTTTTAATAAGGAACCCCGAAATAGTATATGGTTAATTACTAATGCCCCTATATTACAGCCTCCACGCGCAAAACCCTCCGAGCTGTTTATCTTCGCCTCAGTCCCTCGTCGAACGCGCTGCGGCCTCGGCGGGGGCGGCTCCAGCGCAGCGCTTAGCGGATGCGGCTGCGCGCTTCTTGGCCAGCATGTCATTTAGGGTTTTAGGGTTTGGGGTTTTTAGGGTTTATAGGTTCAGCTAGCGCCGCTAATTTTGTGTGTGGAGATGTTGGTGCTACGGTCTGAGTTTAGAGCTAGGTGCCGTATCCTCGTTTCAGGGTTTGCTGGAATGTGTCTGGGGGTATGTAGATGGGCTTTCGAAATTAAAACCCTGTGCTGAAGTCATCCTCCAGAGATTGTACTAGGTCCTTACTGGGTCGGACTCCACGGCTGTCACATGGGTCATGTTGCAAGAGCAAGTCAACGATAGTAGCAACACGAGCACTGCAACACTGTATTCGAACTGAAGAGTGCTTGGATGCATTCGGGAACAGGGTTTGGCATCTTGTCTTGCCTTTTCTCCGAGCTTGCAGGCTAGCAGCGTTCAAAGTAACGCTTCCAGCATGATGCAGTCGATGTGCAAGCCACATACAGCCAAATGTAGATCTGCAGCCTGAAAGCCCGACGTATGCATGGCTGTGGACTGATCTCACATCTTGCGCTTCATGCTACAAGCCCAATTCCATCCAATTCCCTGAGCCCACAACCTGTACAATGCCGAACTAACCGACTGGCAGGACATGTAAAAAGGAGCCTCAGTCGTTGATTTTTCTTAACCTCGAAAGCAGCATGACGACCCAAAACCATGTTCCAGGACCCCCCTCCAAAAGCAGCACATACGTTGTGCTAGTGTAACTCCTGTTTTCCTCATTATACAGTGATCGCATCAGCTCTAAGTCAAAATAGGTTCTCTGAATATGCATGGCTGCTTTGCCCGACGATGCGGGCTTTTCCGCTGGCTTGGCCCCGGTGCACCGGCGGCCGCAGCGCAATGCACGCACAGGCGTGGGAAGCTCCTGCACATGATGCATGCAAACATCACGACGATGAAGACTGCCACTACGAGTAAGCCGCTTATATTAACCTCATTTTGGCCTCGACAGTTTTGAAACCGAAGAACATGGGGCATGTCTCAGAATCCCGTCAGGAAGCAGGTTCATCCCTGTAAGGTCTCCAAGTCTCATTGAGAGAACGATGTACTTGTTGCAGATCCAGAGTCGAACCTGGTAGTGAGGAGACACACCTTCTACAAGTTCGTCAAGGCCCCGGGGCCCGAACCTGTGCGAAGGTGACAAGAACAACATCTACATCGTCGGCCATGCTGCTTTTGGCCAGGGGCTCATGCAGCTGGAATCTTGTCTCACGAGCTTGGTTCGGGGTCCATCATGCCGGCTCATAGCTGTCAGAGCTTAGAGTGCATGTCCGGATGCACAGCAAGATGGTGCCCGTGTGTTCCGTGTGATTGTGCCTGCAGTGCCTGGCAAGAGCGAAGACCGAATGTTGTTAGGAACACTGCCACCGAGCCGGCTTGTTCATATTTTAATTCGCACGTGCCCTGTTGATTCTACGGGTTGTGTCGAGCATAAGCCAGATGCGAGTACGAAAATCAGTCATGGATGCGTGCATGGCCCAAGAGCGCTGTGTCGCGAACATTAGATTTGGCGTCGTCCGAGAGCTGTTCCCTATGGAAGTCCTCTATCGTCCACAGCATCTTGTGTGGTGTCCCTGACGAACAGAGAGGCCAGTTGTTGTCCCCCTCCGCAATTCCCACATTTACGTAAACAGCCTGCAGCATGTTACCGACTTTTCTGACCGAGCAGCTACCCGTAGCACTTAATTCCCTGTCCATGTCGTGCTGCTAACAGATGTGCATACGATGTCGTAGGTATGTGAGCGTTTAAATCTTGAAGCTAGTATGATAAGCCCTTAGAAAACTGAAAGACTATACCTATACATATATCAATCAGACACACACACACATATATATATA